GATGAAAATATTAAAAACGTGAAGGATATGGATATGGTGGATATGGTTCTTACTCGACTCGTCCCGATAATGCTGAATTATTTTCAAAAAAAGTACGGTACTTTCAACAGGTCCCTTTGGATATGCTTGCTCGTGCGAATTCCGATTCCACATTTATGGACATCATAAAGCATGGGTTTAGGAATTTGACATGCAAACAAGTCAACATTTATCGCAATGGAGGCAAAAAACACGCCAAAGCCGCTCAAAAATCAAGGTGATACTCATTGTTTTTTTCGATATTGGTGGTTTGGTGCATCATGAATTTGTTGCGGAGGAGTTCTATTTTTCCAAACATCCGTCGAAACGATCGGAATTGTGGAAGAGCAATTCATAAATTTTACACGACGATAATACATCAACGCATCGAGCCACGATTGTTACCGAATTTAAAGCCAAAAACGTAATGAGTACCAACGATAAACCACAGTATTCACCTGATTGCATCTGTGTGATTTTTTACTGTTCCCCAAACTGAAATTGTAGCTCCATGGAACGCGTTGTCAGTCGATCGAAAAGATAAAAAAATCGCTGAAGAAGCTCAAGATCTTGGGTGGTGCTCATAAAAGGTGTTTCGAGGGCTAGATAAATCGTTGGCATAAGTGTATTACATCTGGTGGGGACTACTCAAAGTGATAACAACAAAAAATTAATATTGAAAAATAAGCAAATATATGGTTTTATTTACAATTTCTGACTTTTTGTCATAATGTACTATATTTCACTTCCTTTTGCGTGTTAAAAATATCGTTGATTGTGTTTCAAAAAGTAGATATATGTAGATAAATCCCCATTTTTTATATATGTATTAATTTTTATATGAAAACATAAGGAAATATTTGACTGGCCTATTACTATTAAGTAATAAATTTGTTGTAAGTTTTTTAGGGGCAAAAAAAGTAATGATCAATGATTTTGCTTAATTAACTATTTAAATTGACTAAAAAAGGCAAAACGACATTTCTAGCAAATTGGTATTTTAGCAATACAAATCTTTATCTTCAATAAAAAGGTATATACATTCACATCCCATCCCATCCATTTTTCTAGATAACGAATAGAAATAGAATCTACATATCGTCACCTAAAATGCAAAATAACGTATCATCAAAAAATTCGAAATTGAGTATCTTATTGCTAACGATTCACTACTTTAAATTACGTTCATAATATGACATTTGTTCAACATTTTCAGGTTCTGCGCTCAAATACAAGTCAGTTTTAAGCAATATTAAAAATTTTTTTTTCACTCTTGTTCCATTTTACTGCGTCTTTCATTCATGCCATTGTCAATTTTCGAAAATGTTGTTACGCTATTTTGCATTGTAGGTGAGGATACATACTTATAGATTCCTTTCAATTTTCATTTAGTCTACGTGTATATGATCGTAAAACTAGTTTAATGCAAAACTAACAAAACAAATTATCACAACCAATAAATTCTTTTCTTTATCGAGATGGTTTATCGTTTTTAACGCCTTTTATTTAACATATGTAAATATATAATCAAAGAAGAGAAGCTGGTTTCAATTTCTTTGTAGTACGGATATAAACGAATTGTTATCTAATATTTGGAAGATACGTGACAGCAGCCTACTAATAAATGGAAGCAATAGAATATTCGAGTGGCAAATAAAAAATATGCCCTATGGCAACTAATAACAAGCACTATACAAAACAAGTTCTTTTTTTATTTAGAATAGAATTCCTTTGTATTTTTTCTCAAATTTATTTAGGAAAAGAAGTGAATGAGCTCGACTTAAAGCCGGAATTATGTATAAAGTATGCGTTACCGTCATTAATGGAGATTATTTTTTAGGAAACTGATAAAATTTGAATGAGTAATGAGTCTAATATGTTACTTGTAGCCAGCTACATCAAAACAGGTCTTAGAAGAGCAGGGAAGAGTCTTTTGAAGTTATTTTCTTTTGTATTTATTTTTGAAAAACACATGGGCTTTTGAATCAAATTTAAACAACTTTAACTGGGTAATTCATTTAATAATCTTAGTACCGGAACCTAGGAAAAGAGATGAGGAAGATTCTGTTGGGAGAGAAACCCCCAAAGGAATCTGACATTAAAAAACGAAGCACGAATTTTTATTCGGGTAGAACAGAAAGGTTTGTCATTATGCTCGGCCTTTTGAAACGATCGGTTTCCTTGCACCTGAGTGTGGCTTTGTGAGTACCGCAGGGATTGTTTGTTTCTAACATGCCCAGGGGAAGTTCAGAGCTGATCTTAGTAGACGCATGTATGTGGCTTGTAGTTTCGACAGTTGCCGTTGTCAGGCAGAATACCAAATGGGGACGGGATAGAAGCATATGCTTCTACTTGTAATGATAGTATTAAATGGTCGTTTTTTTGGAACTTGGGGAAACTCTTTTGTTGGTAACAGAGGGTTTCAATGAGCTGAAGACGCCGTTGAATTTTCCTTGAACTGCTCACATTTGCTTCATTCAGGTCAGCCGCCTAGTTGAGGACGGTGTGGATAAACTTATTGAGGGCTGATATGCTGTACGGTAGGCGTACAAGAAAGCGACATCGTCCGCGTATTGTGACGTGCGATTTTTTTCCTAGATTGGCGTGTCGTAATACCCTGTTGAACCGCATTGTAGTGAGCTTCGGAGAGCTCCCTATTCACCCTAGCAGTGATTTTACGGTCAGACAAAAAGGAGTGGACTAAACCGATGAGGTATTGCGGGAAGTTTAGCGTTATGAGCTTATAAATGAGCCCATCATACCAGACACGATCGAATGCTTGTTTGCAGTCGAGCAGGAGCATAGGTTTGTGTCGACCCGGCACCCATGTTGGAAATCGGGGAGATTATTCCCCTCAAAATTTTGAGGCTAAAGGAAAGAACGTTAGATTTAAACTCAAAAGATTTAAGCTCCAAAATGGAAATACCTGAACTCGACATAAGCATTGCTCTAGCAAGAACAAGAGCGATGCTACAATAAAGTATCTTAAAAATGTTGCCATAAACTCTCCATTAATTACATTTGTGTGTAAAAAAATAGCACGCTGTATTGCACAAATAAGTTCGTCACCGAAGCATAAAATGCAACAAAAATGTAAATAATGTTATTGCGGCATTGGCAAGTGCGAGCGGACATGGACAAATATTTGTGCGGTACACAGCTGACCACCTCTGCAACATACACACATGCACGCACATGCGTACAAGTGCATAAGCACGGGTGTGGGCTGTCAAAGTCGTCGGTAATGCTTTCAGCCTGGCACTGGACGTTGCTTTCAACGACCTTGCCGCGCATTGTTCGCATATTTCATTAACCTGCATAATGCTTTCCACAAATATAGAGGAATGTGTATAAGTGTGTGCGTGTGGACTTGCTACTAGCTGTGTTTGTAGGTTGAAATCGCGCAGCTTGTTGGCTGCAGCGGTGCACGACATGCCGATCGGTGGCTTGTCGAACTGCTATACATTGTCGAAATTCTTCAGTAATTTGGAATTTTGCCCGCTTCACACTTTTCACAGTTCGGTCTGGATGACTTCCAACAAACCTTGATCGCCTTAATAGCCTACACAAGCATCCTGGCGTTATAATTTTGTAGTGCTTTTTGGTTTTTGCTTCCTTTATTTTATTGTTGTTTAAATTTACTCACTCTCTCTCTCTCTTCTTTTTCTTATTATTCCTGCGTAACGGCCGCACAACGGGAGAAAATGAAAACATTACTTATGTTATGCGTGTATATGTGTGCATCCTAAAAGCCAACAATAATAGAAAAACAAAACATTTTAACAACTGCTGGCCAGTGATGACGGTATCAAAGTATTCATCAACCTCATTTAATATATCGTGGCGTCAATGACTGCATAACTAAGAAAGCGCGATGCCAAAATATCGCCAAGCAATTGTTGCAAGCAGCACAGTTGCTGCAATTACACTAACAATTACATATTGTATATTGTACATAGTTATATACTATATGCATGCTTGTATGCACTAAAGTATATATGTATGTATGCAGCTAACTAAATATACATACATACGTATGTATGTACATATATATTTTGCAGATTTTGCTTGGCGCATTGGTCATTAAGGTACGAATGCACTTAGCACAGCATGTTAAAGCAGCAGCAACAACATCACAAGCAATCTGTATAACCGGAAAAGTGAAAAAACTCTCCGTAGCAAAGGGCTGGCGAAATTATGCAACTAAATATACGAGCACCAGCAAAGTAATGCGAGAAGACGCTTTTAAGCGCAGTTGCGCATGCGCTGACTTACTTAGTCCACATAGTTGTATTTATACATGTATATGTGTATGTATATGTGGATGCACTATATTTGTGCTATTGGGTTACTGAAGCATAGTGGTAGCGCTTACAGCAGCAGTTGCTCTATACATACATACATACGTACATATATGTAAGGGCATTTTCATGTGTTTATATACAAATTTATAGATAGATGTATATACATACATGTTATGGCACTTATTTACCAAAACAAAAAACAAACAAAAACGCGAGTTGCCGATTCAACAAGTCGATTTGCATATGCAAAAATTGCTGAATATGCTGAATACTTTATTTTGAAGTGGTTTGGCTTTGAAACTGATTAATATTTATATACATATGTATATATACATGTACTTTGTTTACTTTGAATAACATTCAAAAAATAAAAATAAAAAAAATAAAATTCTACGCTTTTAATATAAACATGAGCTTGACTGAGCTTTACAGAGCTTTCCATGAACTTTTTTTGGAAACCAGGTGCTGAAAGATATTAGGACAAAGCTTGTAAGTTTTGAGCCCTAACTTTTTCCCTTAAATTTGTTCACTATATTATAAATAACTTAGTTTCTTCATAATCTCTCTCTCTCTTTCTCTTCTCTGTTCAACACGAATACGTATAGTAAGCAATATATAGCGTTCGCCAATCTTAAGATATATTCATAAATATTCTAAAATGATCATGCAAGCACTCACCTTGCCCTTTTGTACATAATCAGCCGAATCGATTTCACCGTTATTGCAGTAACGTGTTGGCACACAGTCGTAATCCTTTGCGCAAACGTCGTAAGGACGTTCAGTTGTTGTTGGTGGCGGTGGTGGTGGGCGGTATATGCAGCAGGTGTGTGTTGTTGTCTTACAATTCTGCAAAGGGAGGGAAAAAATAATTATTATATAATTTGATAATTGAATCTAACTATTATACATATGTATGAAAGTATGTATTATTATGCATAAAGGAGAAAACTGGTTCATATTTAAGTATATAATAAAAAGAGTTGACACCTTATACAAAAGTTCAATTACGGTAATATTCAAAGATTTACTATAACCTAGGTATTACTCGAGACATATTTTAAAATCATTAGTTTTTACCCTAAAAATTGTGTATCAAGGTTGCCATATTTTATTTAACTGCATTTTATGGTGAGTATGGTGGTATTAGATCTAACTATTATATAAAAGAGAAAGCATAAAGAAGACTGGTTCGTATTTAGCCTAAATCATGACAAGAGTTGCCACCTAATTTAAAATTTCAATTAAATTACAGTAGTATTCAATTTAAAAACAGTTCACTTTTGTCGTAAAAGTTTTGTATCAGTGTTGCCATATACTACAAAAATTCATTCTAATTTAACTGCATTATATGATGTCTTTTTATATAAAAATTAGCGTGTAAAACAAAAAATTGTAATCTTAAAATATTTTCAAATGGTTTGTCAAACATTAGGGACGTCGTAAAAAGGATACCATTTTTTCAAATCAGGAAATACCAAACAATATTTTTTTAAAATATACGGTAAATATATGAAATACGAAAAATTTTGGTCTTAAAATATTTTCTAATAATTTGTAGAGTATTAGCGTCGTCCTGAAAGGGCTATTTTTTATTTTTTTAAAATACTAAGTCAGTAAATATCAATCAATATTGAAAAATATACGGTATATTGCAATATTTACGAAAAAAAACATCAATAAAAACAAAATAAACGATCAATTATGTTCAAAACCGCTAAAAATCATAACCAAGAAGCAGTGTTGTGTCTTAAAACTAATTATGCTCGCTTATTAAAAACTAATTTATACTGACATAAGTTTGTTAAATTGATGACACATTTTTCCTTGAACATATAATCTACATTAAATTGCATAACAAGCGATCTCGCAAGGCAAAGTACAGTGAGAAACAGAAGCAACTAATTTAAACACTTAATAACACAAAAAGGGAGTATTAATCATACTGAGGTGTGACTTATTAAAAAAACAAAAAATTAATAAATAATCACTTTTTAATCAAGTGTGAATTTAATTTGCAACAGTGTTGCGTTGTAAATTTTGCCATTATTCGATATAAATGGGGCAACACTGCGGTTTTTAAGCAATACTACTAAAATTATGTATAAATTAGAATTATTATTGAATATTTGTTCGTCAAAATAATTGAAAATGCGTTGATGAACTTAAGTATTGGCGGGCTTCGATTTGGCTGACCTTGAGGAGTGAATATATGCAATTCAACGACAAATTCATATACTCCTTTTCTTCGAATCTAAATATGCCATACATATTTTGCAATTGCTTTCCTATAAAAATGTTGTACTTGCTTTCATATAAAAATATATATAATAATATTAGAACTTCTACAAATATGTAGAAGAAAGCCTTACTGAAGGCAAAAAGCTTAATGTTTGTATTAACATGGTAGCTCAGCGCTGGCCAAGCTCTTTGTTGCAAAGTCCAGCCATCCACTAATAGTACACACGAACTGTCAGCGGGCGAGCATGTGGCCTACCACCCATATTAGTCTTATCACAAAGTGACTCTATTCCATTGATAATAAGGTTAGGCATTCACTAACCAGCCCTGGACGTATGTTTAGTGAACTCAAGGCTAGTATCGCAACTCTGTTATCAGAGTGTGTAGTCACTTTTCTGAACGCGGGAGGTATTGCTACTCTGCTATCAGAGTTAATAGTCACTTCTCTGAAGGAGGCTGCCTTCCGGAGCAGTAAAACTGGCATCAACCGCGGCTTGAAAAACACTGCTATAGTACGGCAGCCTGAAACTGAAGTTGATAGCGAGGCAACACACTTCTACATCAACTTTCCCTCATACTTTTACCCATCCGTAAAGAAGCAGAGTTTGGTTTGGCGACTCTATGATCCAAAGGATTTTTGAATGCTCATACATATCTCAATTTAGAAAATCCGATTTTTGGAGGCTGATAGCAACTTTCGTGGCCACACACTTTCTGGCGATATGCTGCCATGGTTGCAGTGGACCTTGGTGCATCACACATGCTTATGAACGCCCGTTATATACTGATTGAAGGGCAAGGCAAACCGGAGTTATTGTTACATACCTGTATTTATTTAATTTTTTTTTTAATTAATCTGAAAAATTCATATTTTGTAGTTTTTATGGTAAAAATTAGTTTGTCAAAAGCTGCAATATAACGGCAATTTCAATATGTGGCAATGTATAGATAATATACAGTAATAAAAAAGGTTTCCATTGCGACCTAAGATCTACTATGCGCTGTTGCAATGTACAGTGCAACACCTTAAGCATTACCTCATACATTACCACACATAGTAACTATTTTCTTTGATTATTTGTTTACAAAGCATACATACATAGATGTGTGTCTACAAAATACATATTAAAAATATATACATATTTTCATATATGGATATTGTATGAAAGTAAAAATTCCTTTACTCAATTTATTGACTACCTGATAAATTGTCTTGGTGGTCACTAGCGTTCTCCCAGCGTGTATTACGCAGTATTCTGGCTTGCATTAATGAAAATACGTGGAAATTTTATAGCTTTGCCACTATGGTGCTAAAATTTAAAAAAAATAAAATAAATTTTCATTGTCTGACGGTGAATTTGGCAAAACTCATAAGCACTTAAGTGTGTTTGTTCATACGTTAGTAAACGTCTTTTCAAATTACTAAAAAGCTTCCAAAAATATACTTGATAGCTTCTTCTTTTCTTGCAGTCTGTGGAAAAATAAAATTTCCACAAAACTAATTTACAAGTTTTGATTATGAAATGTTTGTGCGCTGTCCACAAATACATATTTATATAGCAATTTTGCAAAATTTGTAGACAATTATGTTTGTATATTTAACGATTGGAGTTCGTAGTAACGGCTATCTGAACAAAATTAATACTTTACAGACATACAAAAGTACACATATATATGTTCAAGCTTGATTTGTAGAGGAAAAGATTTGCGAGGAAGCTTAAAGCAATTGCAATAACAATCAGGAAAACTGACTTGACTTTTTTGCGTCAGATATATTTCTTCGTTTTCACGCGATTTAACTGTTATCGTGGCAGTCTAGAGGCGCCCGGGTAAGTAATAGAGAAACACCCTCTTGATATATGTAGTTCAAATTTACTCGTGTGGTTCTACATATATGTATAGATCCAACATTCATTTCATTAATCTGTTAACATGAACATAGTAAAATAATTCCCTCTCATCAATCTTCCCACTTTGATCACATATACGAGTACACTTGTAAAAACTATTCTATGCACAAATCAATAACACTCTGTGTGCAAAACACTGCCTTGAGGCATAAAAATCGCTCTTATTGATTCTTTATCTAGCGCTGCGAGGTCTCCAACACAAAAATGGCATTTACTTATTACTTCGTCGCTTAGTTCTTTGTTTTTGCAAATACATATTTGTATATGCACAAATTACCGCTGTCAGATATGCTGCAAAATGTTGCTTAAGCATTTGCATCTGCATAGCTGCAAGTTGCAAGGCATTTGGCAAACGATTGCTAAGCATTTAAATTTGCTTGGAAGTAAATTTATTATAAAATTATATGCGCATTAGGGTGGGTCACATGGAAAATACAAAAAATATTATAGAAGTAAGCTACCAAGTGCTCGATATCACAATATAATTTTATTTTGTTGCGTATTTAGGCGTCTTCGATGCAGTTATATGGAGTTGAATTCACTAGAAGCTCAGAAGAGTTCTCATGAAAATGCATAACCTGCTGATAATACATCTCTGAAAAAATGTTCCGACCTACAGTCAATTTTTAATGTGACTGTAGGACATAGGGATATTTTTCATGGATTCCAATATTCAATCGTAAGGGGTTATATATAGTTAGAATTTTGGTCAAAAATCTATATTTATATTTAATTTTCTTAACGTGTAGTATATACACACAGTAAATTTTATATCGTTCCGGGGCATATTTTTGAAGTTTGAAATTTGTAAAAGCGCTTCCGGGTACTTGAAAGCACAAGGCTAAACTTTAAATGCATTTTTCTCAAATTGGTGTTTTCAAAGTCGGTGACCAACATTACTCGATCGATTAAATCAATTCGTCTCAAATTTTAACATCAGTTTTTTCAAAATATTTTTTAGTAGTGAAACGAATAATTTTTCTCGCCGGTAAATATTTTTTCTTTTAACAATTTAAAGCCGAAATTTTTGTCGAAAATCGGTTTTTTGAACAATAAATTTAAAGATTCCTAAGAAAAAAATTCGTTTTTTTCGCCTTCTAACTGTATATTACACCTTAAAGGACATTGGTGAACTATAGTTGAAAAAATCAGGTATTCTATCAAATCCCCAGAGTGGCTGAACAAGGCTTAATTGGTAACGACTTGTGTGGACAATATACCTGCGACTAATGATTGCATAATGTTATTAATTATATATTAAATTTAGTAAATTAATTTAATTTATTAAATGTTTTGCTTTTGGTATTTAATTTACTTTATTAATACTCCAATACCCGTCTATATAAAATTATTTATTAAAAATTGTATTAATGACAAAAACAGTCCGCCTTAATAATTAAATTTATGTATGTCTCCATAAATGCATATATCCTATTTCAAATAGCTGGTTGGATGAAATTTTTTATATTAACCCAGTCATAGAATAGCTAACTGCAAAGTATCGTTCAGGTAGTATGAAGCACGAGCGCTTAGTCAGCAAGGCTGTTTAGTCAACAAGCCTTCTTCCATACAAGATAAATAATATCCAACGAATTGTATACGTATTCTGTATGATGTTGTGTTGCGCGTCGTCAATGGTCATCCTTTGCTCAAAAATTCACTAGTATTACACCAATTCAACTTAGACCAAGAAATTAG